GTTGATTGGTGCTATCTATTAATAACGTTACTTACAATAATATACAGAATGTCCCGTAATTCGTGACGTTAAATTAAAAATCCCCATTTTAATCTCGATCGATAAATGCCGTTAGGCGCGAATTACGCGAACGCGAGCGGTCTTAATTGCTTAATTACGACTTTATTAATCACACATACACCCGTATACACAATGTGTCGAATATTTATCCAACCTGATGAAACGCGTAACCGTAACCGAGAAAAGACGTCGATGTCGTTTTCGCGTCGGTCAAGTCAAGTTTCAGTCACAAGTTTGACAGTCACCGCGATTGCATTCACATCGAACCATGAGGTTAGAAGCGGGAAGTCGCATGAATGTACTTCTCGTTTCGAAATAAGCTACTTTCGCTCGCTATTTTACTCAGCGACCTAAGAGGTGCTATCCCTAGAATATTCCCTATAAGGAAGTTTCGGACTGTTAGTTGGGAAATAGTCACCTTGACAATAACAATCTACTCTTTGCAATGGCAGGAAAGCAGTTAATTCTTTAGCCAAGTTCGAATTGGCCAGTGAGATTTAAGACTGATAGTTCCAAGTCATTTCTTCTTGCCTGTAGAATCGATCCTACGAAACTGTCTATGTACCAGCGCTGTCAATTTCAACTAGCCGGACATCCGGGTCTTTCGGGATTACCCGGTTATCCAGGTACACACAGAAAAAGGATTAGCCACAGGGACTGGAATCTAGCTGAGACAGCTAAGATGTGTCTTTGAAACAGGGGCAGCTAGTGTTGTTACCGCGCGGCGAAGCGCGATTTATTAGCTATTTCGACTCAAGCACTGCGACAAAAGGTACCAGGGTAGATCGTGCAATAGTATCAAAATTATATCCACATTTTTATAAGTAAAGGTTGCTGTTTCTAAGCCCGATATTTTATTCCTCTCCACCGCGGTATCTCTTCGATTGATGAAAATATCATACGTATTATTACGTATCGGCGTTCGATATGACCCCGACGCAGTTATATAATTTTCTAGTTTATCGGGATAATCTACGCGAGTGTGGGTATCCAATATTGGGTATAAAAATACCTGAATATTATATCGACAAGAGTAAATTGCGCTCAGTATATGTTTGCGCAGTCTTTATCTAGATATAGTTACGCAGTTAAAAACATTTCGTACTTTTGTTAAAATTATTTGCGCGTAGAAAGTTTTGCGTTAAACTTTTTACACAGTCGTGCGTTAATTTAACATATCGTTGTTGTGTTACCTAGACTGTTGTGTTAAATTAAGATTATCCTATTTTCAAGTGTTAAAATGACATTTCCAAGCATTAAAATAACACAATTTATATGTAAGCGCATGAATTCTTGCTATGACATATTTTATAGGTGTTGAAGTCACAACACCTAAAATGTGTTACTTTCCTCATTATAATAGTTATCATGTGTTGAATGTATAATGTTAACATTTCTGGTATGTGAAGATTGGATTTTTAATACATAGATTATGTCAATCTAACATTTTCATTTCATTAAATCACAGATCATTACTTTTCCTAAATGTTGAAGTAACATTCATTGTATGTCAGTTTCACACAATTTGTGATTCTTGACGGCATTCAAATGTTAAATTTTTGTGTTAATTTCTTACATATTATGTGTGTTATTTTTTAACATATTTGCTGTATGTTAAATTAACACATAAATGAGAGTGGATGATGTGAGACACATGAAATGTGTTAAATTTAACACATCATTTCTTACAGTGTACAGATGTAGATGAGATAATCCAGATAAAATCTTGCCATCGAGTTACTTCTATTCAGATTAGATGTATCGTCTTCACCCCCCCCCCATCTTCAATCGAAAAGTGTTGCCTTTACAAAATTATCTAAAGTGGCGTTTACAGACTCAGTTTAGTCTCACTGCTGCGGATATGAAATATTTCTTTTCCTATCGTTAACATTCGCATCGGCCCTACGTGTACCAGACTGAGCTTGCATCGGGATCCATTTATAATTAGAACAAAGGGCCAAAAATTTTATCTTACCTTTTCATCCAAGTACAACACACTCTGCCTACACCGTGCCAACCAATTGTTTTTAATTCACGGCGCAACAGGAAAGATTTGCGTGATCCCTCGCTCCTCGACGTGATGATTCAATATGGCGGCGGCCTTTAACGTGAGTCCGCTCACAGAGGCTGATAGGGGACTCGAACACGCTCCCTCGTGCTCGCCGTCGGTCGGCAGGCAGGCAGACCGGCACTCCGAGGCGAAGCTCGGAGGATTTACCACTCTAGTCCGCCGGTGTCAGGCACAGATCTGAGAATCGCGATATCGATCTGAGGATGTCGGAGGTCGTTACCGGTCAGTCTCCAGAGACGTCAGCACATAGATTTTCCCTAGAAACCGCGTGCCTGCGGCAGGCGGAATATGAATCTCCACGCGAGAGAGAGAGAGAGAGAGAGAGAGAAAGAGAGGAGAGAGAGAGAGAGAGAGAGAGAGAGAGAGAGAGAGAGAGAGAGAGAGAGAGAGAGAGAGAGAGAGAGAGAGAGAGAGAGAGAGAGAGAAATTCTCCCGGAAACGAATAGACGTGTTCCCGGCGACGTTGGTCAGTGTGCCGCCGCGCGCGGATGCGCCTCATAGCGGACCTCAACTTCCGAAGTCGTCAAGTAGGCTGATTTGCGCAGGCCATTAGCGGCCGTTCTCTGTCGTCGTGGATGACGACGCCCGCGAGGAGCCATTCTCCTCGTCGTCGAGTTACTTGCCGAGCGGGGCGAACGAACTCGCCATTGTCAACGTCGACGATCTGGAATCAGACACCAGAGGGGAGGGGAGACAGGATCGTTGTACTGTCGATTTGCAGAGAGAGAGAGAGAGAGAGAGACAGCTTGGCTCTCTCGCGGTTATATTTACGCCGACGCGCGGCGGGAAGCAGGGCGGGGCGCCGTGCAAGCTGCGTAAATACACAATGCCTAAATGTAATACCTAAAAGCGACGAAAAACGCCGCGCGCGCACATAGTCGTGTTAGCGGAACGTTACTTCACTCAAAGAGCGAGACTGACAGAGAGAGAGAGAGAGAGAGAGAGAGAGAGAGAGAGAGAGAGAGAAGGCGATAACTTTGAGACCCCTTTAAAACGATCCAACTTTCGAATTCCGCACAGCTTTCTCTCCGGCGCTTTTGGGAGTTCTCGCGGCCTACGTATGCTCACGCCGCTGCGCCCTTCGCGACGCCCTTCGTTACGCCCTGAGAGCGGTCGCGAGGCAAAAGCCGGCAGAAAATCGCTCCGCACTGCCATTGCTTCGGAAGCGCTCCTCTCCATGGCCTTCCATCCCTGGAGAGGAAGGCGAGCGAAAGAGAGAGAGAGAGAGAGAGAGTGAGAGAGTGTATGTAGCAGGGGGAAGAAAGCCAGCCCTCCTCGGACACGTATATGTTACTACTGTGCGCGCGCGAGTGAGCGCGAATAGGCGAGTAGACGGGCTAACGCGCGGACGTGCGTGTGTGCGTGGACACACGCTGAATAATAAATAGAGGAGCCGGCGTGGCGATAAAGCTTCGCGACGCGTTATTACTATATTACACGTGAGGGGATTTCTCGCCGTGGCGCGGCGCGCGTATATACGTGTCTCTCTCCTTCTCTCTCTCCCCTCCTCTCTCTCTCTCTCTCTCTCTCTCTCCCTCCGTCTCTCCCTCTCCCCCCCCCCGTTGTCCTGTGCATCGCACGAGTGTGAGAGAGCGAAGCGTGGCGTCAATGTGGATCACGCGAGCTCGCGTGCGAGAGTATCCACTCTCTTTCGCCTCTCTTCGCCGAGCGCGACCCGCGCCTGTCGGCTCGCCTGTCTGTCCTTGTCCCTCTCGCGGCGGTGGCTCGGTCCGTTTGCATCGCCAGCCGCGTGCACTCCCCTCCGAGCTCACTTATCCGCCATCCACCTTATTTGTGGTCGTTTCCTTACGACGCCCTGGGCAGCGAACTCCGACATGTACCTCCTATACCTACCTACCTACCTACCTGCCTGCCTACCCTCGTGGTGGAGTAGCGAGGGGACTATTCCGAATCCGGATCGGTTTACGTTCGAACCAGTTTGCCGTAAAGTAGACGGAAAGAGAGATCGGTCACGATAGCGCTGTTATCGATGCCTCGTATAAGGACACATATCTCTGGCGGTATTACTGGCGATAATGGCTATTTACCGGCTGCATAAACGTCTCCCTCATCGTCTCTTCTCGAGTCTACTTCTCTCTAAGTTGATAATACGGATAACGATATTGCAAAAGACATCCGGGGGAGGGGGGGGGAGAGAGAATGACGCGCGAATCGAATGCGCAAGCGAGAGAGGGTGCAAATAAAATAAAAATGACACTTGGCGTCGTTGCGTTTTTATATCCCCTCGGCGTTATAAAAATTGTCACAAAGTCGCGCTAGTCCCCTCGACGCGGATGACAGTTCGACTTGCAAATATGAAGTGGATAATACATAATTCGCAGCAGTATGTCCGTCGCACTCGCGTGTAGTCGCGAACGCGTTCGATCCCAACGCTACTTTCAGTCCGGTTCTTGCCCGCACTGAAAAAAAGGTTCAACAGAAAGGACGTCCTCTCTCTTTCTCTCACTCTCTCTCTCTCTCTCTCGCTCTCTCGCTCTCTCTCTCTCTCTCTCTCTTCGTTCAGCGACCCATCTACATTTCCATTCTCCCTCTCGTCCTCTCCCTCTTCCAGCCCACCCCCTTTTCTCTCCCCCCCCTTTTTCTCTCTGTCTATCTCTCTTTTCTCTCTTTCTCTCTGATGCGTGTCAGCTCTCCCACGCTATGTTACTCTTAATCTGGCGACCGTGGCATTTTAATTTCCACCTGACTCGGCCCGCATATATTATTTTCATAATTCAGGCCAACCTTCTCGCCGCAACGCGTCTACCACGGTTTCGTTTCCTCGGCCACTTGGAGCACGGGCGAGTCACCCTGACGCCGCAGATGAGTGGTTTTAACTCGGGTAGCGATGCCGGTGAGGTTGCCGGGGGGGAGGGGAGGGGAGGGGAGGAAGGGAGGAGGAAGGAGGGAAGCTTTATACGTCGCGCGCGCGCAAGTTTCGCCCGATGGTTAGAAGTTGCGGATATTTCGTCGTCGTCATTTCGTCGCGGCGACATTTCTCCTTCGATAGCGTCTCCGTCGCCCTTCTAACAATTTGCCTTATATTCGCGGCGTGCGAACGCAAATGGCTGAAACGTGGTTTATCAGGACGGCGCACGCGCGTTTCTCGCGCTATTCACATCGGACGCCCGGGAATTTTCGTGCGCCGAATGACCGGAGTTTTATTAATTTCATTTTAGTCCCCGACTCAACGGGAATAATGCATGTTTCGCGCGTTTTCCCCTGTCAATTTTGTTCGGGCATCGTGTCGAAATGAAGATATTGCTTCAAACGCTCGTTTCCAGTGTTGACCGAAGTAGCCACATCGTATTCCATTGAGAAAGATATGCAATAATAAATCGTTGGGAAAACGTTGGTCCGCGGATGTTCCCCAAGATAATTTGCTCTGTAAAGAAGATATAACGCCTTAAAAATATTTTCAACGAGATGTTACAATATGGTTGCTTGCAAAATTTTGACGAAGATTTTGCACGATATGTCGCCGTGTTGCCGATTCAGATACTTGAATATTTCAGATGTTATTTGAGTACCTCAGAGTATCTCAGTTATTGTGTTTCAGATATTCAATTATTTATTTTTACTATTTTTTACTTTTTTCTTAAATAGAACACGACTCCTTCGACATCGAAGCAATAAGGTAGAGTCAAGGGAGAATAGATTTTTTTATGAAATATTTAGTCTACGTGTGGAAATAATAAACACGACCGGATTAATACATATTTAACGTAGCGACATTTCTGGAGGGAATTAAACTGGAGAATTTCAAATTGTTGTCTAATCTCTAACTGTTCTAATATCTTGATATACAACTAGAATATTCAGGTGTAATACTTTTGTCAGATTTTAGTTCCAACTTGTTTCTTCTTTTAACGTTATTTTGCGTTAGACCTCCGACAACTGGCGGGGAATGACGGCCCCGGAGAGTGGGGGAGCAGCGTTTCTCCTCTCGCGGCGCGAATTAATGCACATGACTGTTTACCTATTAACATAAGCACATAAGAGAAAATTAATGTCGTATAATTGTCGTAGCAAAACCATTGTCGTTACTGCATATTGGTAGTGACGACGATGAGACTCAGTTGATATAAGCAATTTTGCAAATTACTTGTCCTTAGAGCAAAAACTCGTTTCGTTGCTGCTGAGTGAATTTGTTCTTGGAAAAATTGTAGTTGATTGTTGGCGCAAGATAGTGCGTTTTCAGCAAATGCTTTGCTGTTGCAGCGAAATCGCTGATTGCGCTGAATCGCATGAATTCCTCGTGGTAGAAAAAGGAGTCGATTACTAAACTGGTTTCTTCTGTGTTATTTGAGTAAGAGAGGACAGATGATGAAATAGAGTAGATTATCGCGTAAATAATGTACATGCTGCGATTATATAAGGGATTATATAATCCCATAACGACATTATTTTGCTTATATACGCTTTTAATGTTACTAAGTTTGCAAATATGTCTTGCTATAACAATAAATTTGCCTTGTTAATGCATCTAAAATGCTTCGATGAGTAAGCATGAATTCGTAGTTCGTTATTACAGCGAAATAATTTGCAGATTCAACGAAGCAAATAAATTCCAGTGTTCCTAACATATACATTTTATGTCCATAAATATATAAATAATTAAATTAATTAAGAATTTAATGAAATTAAATAATGTAGTAAAACGAAAGATAATGATGATAAAGAGACTTATACTTGTGCGGAAGATAAAATTTTAATGTACAGCAAAATCACACATTATATATGATAAAATCTCTATGAATTATGTCTATAATAGATAATAGGTCGTATTGTATACGCGTACGATTACGTTCACCACTTTGGTATGAATTCGATAGAAGACCATTTGATAAGTGCACCATGTTTCTTGTGACACAGGATATATCATTATAAATTAACATATCCGCTAAATATATCCGTTATAAATTAATAGAAAAATCTGGCACTTGTTGTTTTGATTTCTCGTGCAGTTTCGCCAACTCCTCCGGCTTCAAATTCGATGCGGCTTCAATAACTTTAAATAATAATCCTTTAACAAGTGATCTCATGACTGAGAATTTCAACGCATGACGTAATATAAACCTGTGCAAACATTAAAATAATAACAATTATAGAACGTGTGCGACATATAGATTTTCATTTCTCGCGAATGTAGAATGAACATTCGTATCGTGTGCAACGTACAAAATATACACTTTACTCACGTATAAAATTTATAAATAATCCACTCTCTGTAACTGAGTGATGCATACAAATTGGGCATGTTTATATTTATTGCTCCTACAAGTAGTAGCATTATTATCTTAGAAGAAATAATCACTAAGGGAAAATAACTCAGAGACTCCGTAGCACATCTTATTAAATGCAATGTGTTTTCATTGACTTCTCTAAAATTGGGTAATAGCCAAGTTTCAGCTAAATCCACAGCACGTTGTTTTATTTCCTCGAGGCTGCCACGGCAAAAGTTATACCTGACGGATAATATATAACGTAATGTATGCACGTTCAGGATGCAGGAAGCATCCAAAGCATCATATCCGGCGTAGAAAATTTTTTGGCATCTAGTCCGATTTCTCAACGTCTGCGCAGATTCAAGTTAAAGATATAATATTTCAAATACGCCATTCTAGGCGGCAGAAACCAACGGATTTTCTAATATATATTTTTTTTTCGATTTTCATTTCATCATTAGAATTTTTTATTTGTTCGATAATATTTTATTTACTTACGTCTTACTTATAGTCATCACCGAAACTTACTTGTCTTCCACTCCGAGAAAATATCCGTAGCATCTCCACATGTAGCAAAAACTTTCTAGATCCTCATCAGTTATATTGTGCAGCCCGATATATTGCGGATACAGAATGGGCACAACCACAAGCATGCCTTGAACAACTGACATGTCTGCATTATTAATACTCTTCGGTTTGATCGTATATGGTATATATTTCATTAATTTGTAAGGACGTTGATCGATCTTTGCGAACGGACACAGCGCGGCGAAGTCTTTCCGAAACAATTCACGCTCCGGACACCATGGATTCTCAATCTTCAACGCGGCGTCTATTTGCTCTTCACTCGCCAATGCCAGCTTTCTAGTTAGCGCTAGGTGTTTCTCGTGCGTAATTTTCATCTCCCTGTAGGCCTTCGTACCTTTGACCCAAGGATCTCCGTCATACCAAACCAGCATCCGTTTTACGGTAATCAGATACCTTGAAATTTACATGCACTTTCTTAAACTATGTCTTTCACAAGGTCGATGTGTCCCCCAATGTTTGATTGGTTATGCTACATAGTTATATTGCAAGAGATGTATCAAGCTCTACTGGTCACTATACACATATACGCACACATTGACGAATAACAATAATGACTTGGAACAGTACCTTTTGAATGCCAAGTACGGTGTATGGGTGTGTCCTCCAAGAATGAATCCTTTCAGACCATCGTCGAAGGTAAAAGAGTACACGAGACTCAATAGATTGGTTAGGACAATTGATAAATAATGCTCGCTCACAAACTTTTGCGCTCTGCGATATTTGTCTATGTCCATCCATTCGGGCAATTCCTCCTGACATATGTTGGAATTTATCGGAGTCATGATGGCCGGCACCATGTCCCTCAAAGAATTAGGTATATTTAAGGTGAATTTCATTATAATCCGATACTTCCAATCGTACTGCTCTTGCGCGGTCCAAGTATCGAAATCGCCCGGAAGCTCGGTTGTACCATGCATTATATCACGATATTTCATCAAGTATTCCTTTTCAGTACAGTTTTCTGAGTCACTAATATCCGTAGTAGTAGTAGGAGTAGGATCTTTAAGCATCTCATCAGTACCTGCCATAGCTACGGAAGAGCGGTCGGACGATTTCGTCCTTAATTCTTCGAGCGATCAAACCACTTTTCACAGAGTAATACTCCTCATTAAATACGTGCACCACACTATATGTCTCGTGATGAATCGTTATTCACTACTGGTGGAATGTATCGCAGGTTTCTTATATCATTTCTCCCCACTTTCCAATTCCCCTATCAATGACGTAACATGTTGCTCCATCGATTAAAGTAAATACAATATAAAAAACGCGTGGATAGATAAAAACCTGTCGATAAAAAATCGACTTTTAGTGTATATCTCTTAAAAAAAAGTTATTAACTTCCTAAGTCCGTGAGATGATAGTCATCGCTACATGTACTCCTCAGAAAGCTGTGCGATGCTTTAAAGCATCGCGAAGTTATTGTGATTGAGCAACCGTAAAAAAACGTGAGATTATAATCCAGGAACTTTCCATTATGTAATGCATGCTCCGTATCATGTTCCAAGGTCAGACCACGCTCAACACGTGTGAGGAAAAATATTAGTCATCTTTTTCATCATGTTCATTAAAAAATCAGTATTTAAAAGGTTAAAGGGGTACCAAGATATTAAAGGGATACCAAGATGGATAATGAACGCATCTTCATCTAGATGGCCGACTAAAAATATCGGCAATGTTATGATCTATCACTGACATTAGCAGTCTTATCCATACAGAGTACCTGACAATGCGAGGCAGAACTTTGGTGCGCAAGTAGAACGAATTAAACTGAATGGTAAAAATTATGTACCGTTTTGCAAATGATACAGCATCTTTCGAAATTCTGTTGAGTTTTTGACATTTTGCAGGCTATAGCTCACGCACACTGATAAAAAATCTCCATGACGTAATACAATAAAGATAATCCTTTGATCTCTGCAAGTTCACACTAATCGACGCAAGATCAGTATTTTATTTTCGAATTATTACTCATTTTCTTCATTCTGCCATTTTATAATAGCTGTTTTGCAGCAATGAAATGAATTAATGAATTATAATGGCATCCGTTGGACCTTGAATAATATTAACAGCCTTCATTGCATAATTATTTTATTTTTCTGTGTAAAGTGGAAGTTAATTTCAGTGGAAGTTAATTTCAAATAATACGCAGAAGCGTACGTCAGATTGTAAAAATATATTGTAAAAAGAAAAGTGTACGTCAGACCAGTAAAAATATGTTATTTATATAACAATAAGACAACATAAATTTTCGGTTTGATATCAAATTTCGTATTGGTCAGAGATATTAGTTATCAGTTAGATTAGATTACATGTATTTGTAACATTAAAATTTAAACATCAAAATTTAAACTAATCAAAGACCAATCAAGGATCACGTTAGTTATTTGACCATTATACGACGTGCTAACGACGTTAAATTAATGAGCAATTTTGAGATCAGACTTTAGATTGATAAAGAAAAAAAACGTTCGGTAACACAGCGTTAAAATCCGGATATATTTTTGAACAGGTTGACCTAACTTACAACGTCCGAGTCACAATAGGCTAGTGAAACGCATTTTATCTTTGTTAAAAACAATTTCAATCAATCGTATATGCGATAATCTTTTGCCGTTTTTGTAATTTTATAATCTCCCTGTCATAAAATTCTTGTGCTTCTAAAGAAACGTGTTCCAAGCAATATTTCTAATATTCTAAACAAGCAAACTTTATACTGGAAAGCGTAACTTTTTTTTTTTAACGCAAACTAAGTAGGCATTACGTGGAAGTAGGTAATGAAGGTTCATCTTGTTCACTTCACTTCATTGTTTTCGCTCAATGTTATTGTAAAACAAATCCACTTCTCGTCTACCGTTAGCATTTGTCTCGAAAACAGTTGGGCTGCGTCTGTAAAGTGAATCGCAGATGGATATGCGATCCATTAAATCTCGTTCCGTCAGATGCTGTGACACTGAAACATCGAACTTTTTCACCATTTCGATTTGATTTAAGTGTCTCGAAACAGTTGATTGATCAATGTTCGATTTTACCGCGATGGCCCGAGTTGTGATGTGCCGATCAGAATCGATTAAAGTGGTTATTTGCTGGATATCCGCGGTTTTATTTGTCGAACATCCGCGGTTACCGGCCAACCAGAGCGAAGAACATCTTGGACATTCCGCTCCTCCTGCGTGAAATTTCGAAAATTACCTCTGCCACCTCTGCGTTTACCGATTAAATGGCACAAAATTGACACAAAAATATTGATATAGATTTTAGACACACAAGTGTTATACATTATTTCAAAGATATACACGTTCGCAGAGTTGTACGAGCAAACTACGAGTTGCTAAAATTGAGAAAAATTTCCTCTTCTTATCACTCTTAACTTTCTTTCTCGCCGTATATTTTTGCTTCCGAAATATTAAGCAGCAAGAGTACACCCAGTCTGCATTTTCCTTTTAGGACCTCTCGCTTAAAATCTACAAGAAATATCCCGAATATTCTGCAGTGCATTTCTATATAATAATCCTGAGGAAGGAAATCCTGAGGATCTTCCACACGCGCAAATGAATATTCATCGGACATCCTGAAGCTGCAAGTTTTCGGTTATTATTTGCTCCTCCCCAGCACATTCGCCCAGTACATCCTGGAGCTGAGAAACAGGACACTCATAGATTATGCGCCATATCCGTCCTAGATGTCCCGCGGATTCTCCCGAGGACGTCCTCGCGCTATCCGGGACGACGCGCGGGGCGTGTAGATGACGGTTAAACAAAATTTGTCCGGCACGGAGCATGTTACTAACATGGCTTACTTGATTCAATCTGTGCTCGTATTTATCTTCATTATTTATGTTTACCTTGCAATATTTATCCGCTCTCGGCATCGCCGAGCGGCCAAATTTATTTAACACGATCTATTGCGATTGCACAGTCGCGATAGGACGCGGCGCGATCGCAATGGCGTGTCACCACCGGCTATTTATTTACGAATCGCGAACCCGAGCACGGTTCGGGGGAATTACACGTATAACCACGATTATCTGAACATCGTTTAACCCTGCAACGGCAACTCGATTACGTGATTATGGTGTGTACTAATTAGTTCGCATAATCGCGACTTCCGCCGGACATTGTCAATAAAGAACCGATTAAACGAGCCAACCGCTACACATTTGTGTACGCGCGTGTCAAAGGATCGTGCTTATTCGCTGCGGCGTTGAAGTCGCGCGACCTTCGCGACTGAATTTTCACCATGTTGATTGGACGCATTTTCACGTAATTCGATTCGATCCTCCACCGCTCCGTTCCGTTTATTCTTTCGATCTTGCGCAGACGCTGCGACGCGTCTGACTACCATCCCTATGCGGATAGGCAGCCAATTATTCGCCAATATCGCTGGCTGATCGAATTTTCGCCAGCGAGCTTAATCGCCATAGCTTGGTCAGGCGTTGTTGGTCTCGTTGTAACGTCTCCTGACTAGTCCACGCGCGACAACGTGCAACCCTATGAAACGGGAAACGCGTGCGCGCCGCGATTGGGCTGGCAGGCGCGGGTCTCGCGTCTCAAGGTCAGTTCGAACGATTCATTTCCAGCCAGCACAGGGGGGAGGTTTTGCCCCCAGCGAAGGGCGGTGCATGACGCACACGGGGCAAATTGCGCACGTGAGTAAGCCGCATGACGTGTAAGGTGACACGCGAGTCAACAGTTCGTAACGATTGATCCACGGGGCTTATAACGTGCCGGCGCACCCTACCTGCCGGTTTTTAGCATCGCTTGACTCGCTTTCTCTCTCTCTCTCTCTCTCTCTCTCTCTCCTTCCCTGTGTGAAGAGTAATACAGCGGCACGTCGCTAAAGACAAATACCAGCGCGAGGATTTACCGCATAACGGGAGACATTACGTCGTCGTGGAAAACACAACGACGTTATGTCTACCGTTTTGACTTATCGACCTACTTCTCTTTTGAAAAAATTAAAATGATATGAAAAAATAATATGTGATAGAGACGGCGCGCGAATAAACTGATAGAAACTGCGGAATCTGGGTCACGAGCTGGTTCAAAGGTCATGTTGACCGTGCGCTTTGTTTGTGTATTTATTGCGAAAGGAACGTGGAACAATGGAGGCGGAATCGCAAAATGTTTTCTTCGGAACAACACAAGTCCTCTGTAGCGAGTTTTTCATCAGAATCTGGCAAATATTGCAGTTACAAAAACGATAAAAGTCCGACTGAAATTTCGGCGCGTCTCTGGAAATTTCGTGTGACGATGCTCGCCGCCTCGTCGCGAATAAAGAGACTTAGGTAGCGTGTTATTAATTAAATTCAAAACTTCCCGCACGTACAAGAATTACAACTCCACGTGCCTTCCACTTGCCTCGATGGACACAGAACTTGCCCCCTGAATTCCCTCGAATGAAAATCTACTCGAGAGGTAAAGCGCGACAGAAGTGAAGCGTGCCGGAGATTCGAATGATTTTTCACACTTACATGAGAATGAATGCTCCGAATCGGCGAATAAATATTTTCATTTGAGATCCAAAGGTGAATTTGTGATGCACTTCGCAGGAACAAATTCGCCGCAATCGCTCGAGGTTATCCGCTTGTATGGTATTAAGGATCCATCTTGAGCTTGAAGTAAACATTCATCACCTTTCTACTTCCGAGTGATAATCTTTCCACTGCCGCTTCGGATGAATCTTCGCCCCTTTTTCAGATTGTACTTCAGGAAACTTGCAGGATAATCGCGCATGATTGTATTTGCGACTTTCGTCCTTGCTGAATCGTTGCTGCTTCCTTTGTTCCGCCGCGACGATTTGCAACGCTTGTCTTCGTTATTAGCGCGTGAAAAATAACGTAGACTTATTTTTAATACACATCCGCCCATTACCTGTCCTGACAGTGCGCGAGTTAAAGCCAGCCTTTCATGGAACGACGGAGGTTATCGCGTGCGTATTTCGCACGGAAGATCCGTAAAGACATTTCACTTCTCCCGCGGCTATACATCGGCGTGATAAATGGGCTTACGATCGACACTTCGCGATCGCGACCATTATCATATTCGGATCGTATATCTCGTGGATTTCACGACAAGAACCTCACTTCCGCGGCTAGAAAATTCTAATGCGACCACATACATATATCCTTAATACTTGATCCTGATATATTAGCGGCGGTATTTGTCACTTGCTATGTGCGAATTCATCAGAACAGCTGAAATTCGCGTTAACGATCCAGACACCTATGCGTACACGTACAGAGGCGCGCGCACGCACACACACACACACACACACACACACATGCACGATACACGAGGGTCCTAAAGCCGCCACGAGGATAGCCGAAGCACACCCTGATTGTCCGAGCACTCTTCATATGTCCAGGAAAAAAGTGTTCCTTTTTTATTTTGTTTTCGATGACGGTTCGAAATATCATCACGTTTTGGAGAATATCGTTGCAGGTGAATTCTCATACTCGCGTCTAGCAAAAATATATATATATTTTTTTTTTTCGCAGCTGTTTGGCCAGAAACAGATATTGTTTCGTTTGTGTCCCGGGAAAAATGTTGTTTCTTGTACCTCAAATACTTGGGGCTATTTCCTTAGCCGTGCTACCGGCTGTTGTTGACTCATGCTGACGGCGACTAATACCGAGATTATCGAAGCGAAAAGGTTAGCTTTTGTTCGGGGTTAGGATGCAGGATTATGCGGCAAATGCGACGTTCTTTCACATTCCGGACACCGGAATGATCTTTCAATTTACTTGGTCTTTTGTTATACTTGGTCTCTACGGCTTAGATCGGTTTGCGATTAGTTACTTGTTTCTTCCTCTCTCTCTCTCTCTCTCTCTCTCTCTCTCTCTCTCTCTCTCTCTCTCTCTCTCTCTTTTTCTCTCTCTCTTTCTCTCTCTCTCTTTCTGTTGAAAAGAAGAAAGGAGCATTCCAAAGATTTTGTTTTGCATTGTGCACAACTGCTGATGCTTAGATATTTTACTTCAAAATTTTTAATGTTAATATATGTTTAACAGCAATTCGTTCGAAATTGCTTTACTGTTTAAACTTATTTCTCGAGATATATTTTCGTCAATATTTCCACGTAACGTAGGAG